GTCCCTCCTTCTGCTGACTTTAGGCCTCATTTGTTCTTCTTTACCAATTTTGATAATTGTGACATTAGACTATTCATTTGGGATTGTTCTTCTTTCTTTAACTATGCCTGGATTACTATATACTTTCCTCTTAAGACTGCTTTTGCTGCATCCCACAGAAGTTGGTGCTTTGTGTTGTTGTTGTCATTTATTTCCATATATTGCTGGATCTCCATTTTAATTTGGTCGTTGATTCATTGACTATTTAGGAGCATGTTGTTAAGCCTCCATGTGTTTGTGAGCCTTTTTGCTTTCTTTGCACAATTTATTTCTAGTTTTATACCTTTCTGGTCTGAGAAGTTGGTTGGTAGAATTTCAATCTTTTTGAATTTACTGAGGCTCTTTTTGTGGCCTAGTATGTGGTCTATTCTGGAGAATGTTCCATGTGCACTTGAGAAGAATGTGTATCCTGTTGCTTTTGGATGTACAGTTCTATAGATATCTATTAGGTCCATCTGTTCTAGTGTGTTGTTCAGTGCCTCTGTGTCCTTACATTTTCTGTCTGGTGGATCTGTCCTTTGTAGTGAATAGTGTGTTGAAGTCTCCTATAATGAATGCATTGCATTCTATTTCCTCCTTTAGTTCTGTTAGTATTTGTTTCACATATGCTGGTGCTCCTGTGTTGGGTGCATATATATTTATCATGGTTATATCCTCTTGTTGGACTGCACCCTTTATCATTATGTAATGTCCTTCTTTATCTCTTGTTACTCTCTTTGTTTTGAAGTCTATTTAGTCTGAAAGTACTACTGCAACAACTGCTTTTTTCTCCCTATTATTTGCATGAAACATCTTTTTCCATCCCTTGACTTTTAGTCTGTGCATGTATTCGGGTTTGAGGTGAGTCTCTTTTAAGCAGCATAAAGATGGGTCTTGTTTTTTTACCCATTCAGTGACTCTATGTCTTTTGATTGGTGCATTCAGTCCATTTACATTTAGGGTGATTATCAATAGTTATGTACTTATTGCCACTTCAGGCTTTACATTCGTGGTTACCAAAGGTTCCAGGTTACTTTCCTTACTAGCTAAGAGTCTAACTTAACTCACTTAGTATGCTGTTACAAACACAATCTAAGGTTCTTTTCTATTTCTCCTCTTTTTTTCTTCCTCCTTCATTCTTTATATATTAGGTATCAAATTCTGTACTTTTTGTCTATCCCTTGATTGACTTTGGGGATAGTCAATTTAACTTCGCATTTGCCTCGCAATCAGCTGCTCCACCCTCCCTACCATGGTTTTACTACCTCTGGTGACACTATCCAACCCTAGGAACACTTCCATCTATAGAAGTCCCTCCAAAATAGACTGCAGAGATGGTTTGAGGGAGATAAACTCTCTCAGCTTTTGCTTATATGGAAAGTGTTTAATCCCTCCCTCAAATTTAAATGATAATCTTCCCGGATAAAGTAATCTTGGTTCCAGGCCCTTCTGCTTAATGGCATTAAACACATCATGCCACACCCTTCTGGCCCATAAGGTTTCTGCTAAGAAGTCTGATGTTAGCCTGATGGGCTTTCCTTTATATGTGATCTTATTTCTGTCTCTGGCTGCTTTTAACAGTCTGTCCTTATCCTTGATCTTTCCCATTTTAATTACTATGTGTCTTGGTCTTGTCTTCCTTGGGTCTCTTGTGTTGGGAGATCTGTGGATCTCCATGGGCTGAGAGACTATCTCCTTCCCCAGATTGGGGAAGTTTTCAGCAACTACCTCCTCAAAGACACTTTCTTTCCCTTTCTCTTTCTGTTCTTCTGGTATCCCTATAATGCGAATATTGTTCCACTTGGATTGGTCACACAGTTCTCTCAATATTCTTTCATTCTTAGAGATCCTTTTTTCTCTCTGTGCCTCAGCTTCTTTGTATTCCTCTTGTCTAGTTTCTATTTTATTTATTGCCTCCTCCACCATATCCAACCTGCTTTTAATACCCTCCATCGTGCTCTTCAATGATTGGATCTCCGACCTGAATTCATTCCTGAGTTCTTGGATGTCTTTCTGTACCTCCATTAAAATGTTGATGATTTTTATTTTGAACTCCCTTTCAGGAAGTCACAATGTCCATATCATTTAAATCTTTCTCAGGAGTTGTATTAATAATTTTACTCTGGACAAGGTTCCTTTGGCTTTTCATGGTTGTATATAGCTCCCTCTAGTGTCCTGAGGCTGTAGTCCCTGGAGCTGCTCAGCCCCTGAAGCAATGTCGGGGGTCACTGGGGAGCGGTATTGGTGCCTGGGGGGAGGAAAGATCTGTTCCCTGCCTCTCGGCTGCTGTGCCTGTCTCCACTGACTGAGCCAGTGGGCCAGTCACACAGGTATAAGTTTTTGTCCCAGAGCAGCTGGATATGGATCCCTGCTTTCCACAACACCCAGTATCCCAGTCACCCCAAGAACTCTGCCTGTATTAACTTTCCAACCTGGTAGTCATGCAAGTCTCATGAAAGCACCATGAAATGTAGGTTTGTGCTCCCAGAGCAGATCTCCAGAGCTAGGTATTCAGCAGTCCCAAGACTTGCACTCCCTCCCTGCTCCATTTCTCTTCCTCCCGCCGGTGAGCTGGGGTGAGGGAAGGGCTCGGGTTCCGCGGAGTCACAGCTCTGGTATGTTACCTCGTTCAGTGAGGTCTGCTCTTTTCTCCAGGTGTGTGCAGTCTGACGCCATCCTCTTTCCTGTTGCTCTCTCAGCATTAGTTGTGCCAATTAAATTTTCTAAATGTAGCCAGTTTTAGGAGGAAGCCTCTGTCTCTCCTCTCACGCCGCCATCTTTACTCCTATCTGTAGTGAAATTCTTTAAAATTTTATTTCTGAACTTGTGTTTTATAAATGAAGTCTAATGGAATCATGGAGCATGCACCAGGGGCTTGCAGCCTAACTCCTTGTTTCCCCACATGGTTCTTAGTGATCAGCTCCCTGTTCCTGGGCCCCTCCTTGCCTCCCTTTCCCCATCCATGCTGATTACATTGCAGCTTCTCTTTTCAGAACAGCAACAGAATTGTATTGGAGGGAAGTTAATGAGGGAGGCCCACTTTCTGCCATGGTCACCCTGCAGTGGGGAGCCTGAGGTCCCGCAAGTGGTTTGCTCTGTAGCATTTTGAGGCAGGGCAACAAGCAGTCATCCCTGCCTTGGGCTGGTCACACCACAGCATCTTCACTAGGTGACTGGGCAGGGCTCTCTTGCCACTCCTGATCCAGGTATCTAATGTGTCCTAGCTCTGAGATTTCAATCTCTTGGGGGATATTCACCCACTATAGGCTGAAAGAAAAGGCCCATGAAAGGGGAAATCAAGTCATTCACATTTTTGTATTGGGCCCCACAAATAATGTAGTTGGGCATGATTATATCTTACAATAAAGATAAACTCAGAAACCTTTACAAAATTACAGAATGGATTGTGGGATACCTGTTTTCAAATATTTTGTTTTTAGGAGAGTATTATCCTTAGTTATTAATAGCACATACACTAATTTAGCCAGTTCTTTTTTGCTGAGGGGGCCTTTTAAAAAAATTCTTCGTTTAGAGAGTAACAAGAAATCATATTCTGAACATGTAAAAAAAAAATTGTATTAGCCTGAGCAAATTTCCATACAAAATAACCTCTTTCAGCTTAAATTTCCCCATTATATAAAGAAACTGTATTAGGAAATATCCATGGATTTTCTTAAATGTAACAATATTACAAAGTCTATTTAAAGATGAATCTGAATCAACACAAATTAACTGACTTCAAGTTAGTTAATTAACTGTCTTCAGGCATTCTTAAATAACACAAATATTAATTTTTTAAAAATGTACCACAGAGAAACCAAAATATAAAACTCAAACCAGTATAGCTCTTTACCAAGTATCTCAAAATTTCAGACACCTACGTTAAAACAGTTAGGTAAAGGTCATAGTTACTATTACCAAAAGGTACCAGTAACTACTCCCTACTCCGTTGTTTAATTAATTCATATTTCCAGAATTGAGGATGAGAATGTCTTCCTCCTAAACTTTGGGACTCTACAGTCCTACTATTTTTCTCCTGCATCCTGACATGCAAAATAGAGCTTGATAGGGTATCTGAAGTGAAGAGGTAACAGGAAGTGCAGTCTGATAATGGTATTTCTAAACATGGCTGGATTAGAGTTCAGGCTAGAAGGAGCCTCTGGGGTGTCTCTGTGCGCATGCCTGGCCATCACAGAGGAGTCTCCTGTGGTTCTCAGTCATTCTTCGGTATCAACTGTGAATTAGATTTAGAGGATCCTAGGGAGGCTGTCTCAGTTTGGGGGCTAACCAAGAGATTTGGTCCCGAATTTCCCAAGCTTGCTAGAACACACTCATGGTTCAACTTCAATCCAAAATTTCATCTTGCGTTTGATACCAGATCAGTCTCTGATCATGGAAAGAACAAGATACCATTTATCTTTGGTGGGATCATTGTGCTACAGAACTGTCCTATTGCTTGACTGGCATTTCCCAAAAACTGTGTAATGCCACAAAACTGTGTACCGGTGTCACAGGGCACCATGCAGATAGTAAGATACCATAGTACCCAATTCTTGTCATTAAACCCTGTACTAGGAAAGATGAAAAACCTCAAAGAGACAGACATAAAATTTATACACACATAAGAAAGGTTGTCATGACAACTTTGCTTGAAGATATGTATTTTTAAATCTAAGTAAATTTAACATTCAAAACACATTTGCATCTCCCTCAAAGGTTCTGTATCAAGAATTTTTTTTTAATTTTCCAATTCTTTCTGAATCTACACTTACCTGAAAGCTTAACAAAATCCTTTAACTAAAATGGCAGCATAGTTCTAAGCACATATTTTCTGAAGGATATGAGAAAAATGCAGAGTGAAAGTCTGCTGCTCCCAGAAGCCCTAGGCTGCTTCTCCTTCTAAATTTTTAAACTGTGGGCAGGCTATGCCATATAATCTCTACAATCCTTTTAAGCTCTAAAAATCAATTCTCTATTAAATGATGACCTTGTAACACAAGCAACAAATCATGAAAGTTGAACACACCTAATGATGCTGTATAATTAAGCAATGATTCATTTAAATGACTATAGATTGTTCCTTAACCTAGTCTAACCAATTCTTAGCTTTGTTTCTTCTCACTGTGAAAGTTCTCCAGTATTCCCATTTAGCATCAATCCTAACAGTCCTTGAAAAGATACCTAGTTTCTCTTGCTCATACACTAAAAATAGCAAAAATAATGGGTTTGGCTCCTGTTATTTGTACTTCCTCTCCCACTACAACCTGTAACCGAAGCCTATGTTCTTTGTCATGTAGTCATCTCTGAGTTCCTTCCTGTGTTCCTTTCACCACTAACCTGAAGGGGCCTTGAGCAGCTTCTAAACCCAGGACCTAGAGAGCTCTGAGTCCTAGGTTACACTTTGGGACATGAGACTTTGCAGCACTCCCTCCTGGGGTGAAGCACAGAAGGGAGAGAACAGATATCATGTCTGTTTTGTCCACTGCTATATCCTTAGTGCCCAACATAAGATCTGGCATGCATTAGAGTTTAATAAAAAGCTGATGCCATACTAAATAGATTCCGTTTCTTTGGATAGGAATGAAAGCCAGGACAGGGCTATAGGAAAGACTTCAGCAGGGCTAGAGGATGCTGTGCTCTGACAGAGAAGAGGTAGAGGTAAGGGAATATGAATTTCTTTGGAGTATGGAATTCAGATGGTTTAAGACTATGATCATTCCTAGTCCAGTGAATCTTGGACCACGCATTATTCAAGGAACTAGCCAAGGCAGATGTTTCTTTGTCTCTAGATCATGTTGGACAAAATGGGTTCTACTCTATAGAACACTACTTCCATGAAATACTGGTTTTATGGGATAATATGTATAACTGAAAAAAAAGAAGGCTATCTTCATCAAATACCTTTGGAACATTAAGTATTATGCCAAGTTACAATAGGTTCCTTCATACTAGAACTTCTCAGCACTTATAATATATTCATATGTATTATAAATATGTGAGGGACAATATAGTATAGAGAATCTGAGAATGAAAATGATCATGGAAATTTTTTCTCTAAGTATCTCACAGGACAGTGTTCCATAAGATACACTTTGGAAAATAATGCTTTCAATAACCTGGTAAAAAAACTGATCTATAAACATTTCCTAGCTTAATGATGATCTAGTGATTAGATACAGAGGGGAGAATGGACTACTGGCCTACCAACTATTTGCTTGGTATTTTGTGTAACTATAGCCTATTATAAATCTATGTTCACATCTAATAAAGGCACCACTGAAATCTGTCCACACAACATATTAAATACTTCCAGTAATGGGTTACATAGCATTATTACAAAGTACTGGTAGCTTTCAGGGTAGTTTGACTATCTGGAAATCTTTGTCAACTATTAAGTAATTTCAGTAATTTCCTTAATTTTATTCTACATGCACAGAAAAATTCAATGACTTAATTCATTCAAAAATACTTAGATTGCCTTTTTGGAAACAGGCACTTTACACTTTATCTATGATTAGGTACAATGGGGATGTAACTGTGTTAAAAATTGAAACAAGCATTAGCAAGTATTTTAGGTGTAAATAAATGTGTGTGTGTATGTGTGCATGTGCATGTGTGTGTTTAAGCTACCAAGCAGGATATTTATGACTTATTTGTTCACAGCACTTTATCACATGCTATTCAGAAGATCCATTTCCACTCTCTAGAAAGACAGCAACCAACCTACACCAATTATGGGAGGTAGAACTGTAAGAAGGAATGTCCTTTCCTGCCTTTCTGTTTATTGCCTGAATGTTTTGCAAAATGGTTCCCAACTCAAATTGTAGCTATCCATTCACTCACTGTCATAAAATTATATACATTAAACATTAAACTGATTTCTATTTTAAAAGTTTAACCAAAAAAACATCTATTCACCAAAGCCCTTACAATAATAAAGTAACAAAGGAATATGTTTAAAATTCATTAAGTGAAAAGTAGACATTATGATTGCAATACATAAAAAAAAGTATGTGGAAACAGCAAAAAATTTAAACAGTACAAACATGGTTGATTAGGCATTAGATTCAATACTTTTTAGATCATTTTCTTCAGCTATTATGAATAGTACATCATTTGAAACTACTGCTGATTCCCTCTTAAATAAAAACAAAGTATACCAATAAACACCATTGAAGATATTAGGATAATTTGAAATTTAGATCTTTTACTTACTTTTTCTTAGCTAGTACTTGTCTGCATTTGTTTAGAAGGAATAAAAAAGTATTTTAGTTTGTCACAGAATCTACTGTTATGCTATAAAAACTAACTGAGATAGGTATATAAAGTATTTGATTTATAACGAATGCTCATCTCAGTCCCAAATTCTATATTCAGTTTTTACCAGTTTCAGTTTCACTCCTTTTATCAGTGCAGGTCACTCACAAGTCCTCAAAGCAACACTGTATTATTAAGCCTTTTGGCTGTACTGATTTCCTCTAATTTCCTTAGTGACAGTAACTGCTTTGTTGCCATATTACCCCCCACCACCCAACTCCTCCCTTTGTACCTTAATCATTGGTCTAATAACTTAGGAAACAAGCCTAACACTGGTTAAGAAGAAACAAAGGTCACTAGTATCAATTTGATGACATTATAAAAACCAGCCCTTGAAAATAGTGTCCATTTCTCTCAGAGCTATCTTCTCACAGCTACCAAGCTACTCTCTGATGCTACTGGTCATGTCCTGTTTTAAGAATAGAATTGTGTTTTTTAAGCAGTTTTCAACCTGTCAACATAACCATGTGTGAAAAAAGAGCACCTTAAAGGTTAACAGTCCTCTTTATGGATCTGAAGAAAAAAATAAAGTTGGCTTCAGGGAAGAATCTTAATCTGTTTGCTCCAGAGCCCAAAACAATGAGAAAGTTCTTAAGATTTTCCCTTAAAAGTTGAAATGCCATTTCAGCTTGAACTTAATTATACTAAAGAGTTTTCTTAGACAGTGGAGGAGTTCCATTTCTTAAATGCTCATTGTAACACCTCAGTGTCCTGTGACTTTAGCAACTTAGATATACAAATAACTGTTTTTGATAGAATGGATGGAAATATAAGGCCAATTCTAAAGTTGAAATGAATAATATCTGAGAAGGGAAATAAGGAGAGAAAAAGTAAGGATAACAAAAACCTGTGTTTACATTCTGAGTAAGAAGAATACTAATGTTCTAATTGTAGAAAATGCTACTGGTTTGTAAATAGAAAATGAAGAGAATATTATGTGTAATGTCTGTAAAAATTATATGTGGATAAAAAAGAAAGGAACAAGATCTACCTCAGAAGCAAGCTTGACACTGGCTAACTTCAAGTAGTGGGACTGATTTCCTGTGGCTCCTAATGACTAAATGAAATAGGTATAAAAAGTATTTGGTTTGTAACATTTTTTTTGTGTGTGTGTGTTTCTGTATTTAGGTTTTTTCTATAGGAAATAAACTTATATAATTTTCTTAAAAAAAAGAACTTTTTGTTTTTAAAATAAAAACTATTTTGAGAAACAAGAATACAGAAAACAGATTTTGACAGTCTATAAATAAGATAGACTTCATATTAAAGAATAGAATGGAACACTTGTGGGCCAGGTAAACAGCATGCGAATTTTTCATTTTTCCCAAACAAAGGCACAGAGTTAATTCTGCCTTGAATTTTATTAGCACCAAGTATGGAAGAGCCCTTTCATTCCATAAAACATGTGTTTGTTATGCTGATGTTTTTAACAATAGATTTCTGAACTATCAAAAAGAATGCAGATCAAAAAAAATGAAGAGCTAGTTTAAAAGAACCAAAAATCAACAAAATTTAACAGCCCTGCTGGAGTCATGCTATGAGCCATCAGTGTCACTAAAACTTCATTTAATAAATACAAAGAGCCAAGTAGGAACAATAGTGAATGGATAACTTATTTTATACATAATTAGCAGTATTTTATTTTCTAAAAATCCTCAAGAAGATAATTTTTAAATGGCTTTAGTCATATAAGTATGGATGAAATGTGTTTAGCTGATTCTTCTATCCTCTATTTTCCTTGATTCCAATCATCACTAGTATTATACATTGCCTCATTTACTGGCCATATGCCAACTCCCTGATTCTTGGCTCAGCCTCCTTTTTGTGCCCTGATCATTGCTGATCAGATTTTGCTTACTTTAAAATTCCACTTAACCTCATTTAACTTTATTGACATTCAGTTTACATATCAATTGCCTACTCTAACTTTTCACAGCCTATTTCTAAACCAGTCAAGATACCTGGATAACAAATGAAGATGTTCTCCATATACAAAACTATAGAAAACGATAGGTAGGAGAGAATAAATTAACAACAGGACTTTTTAGAAACATGCTGCTAAGTACTAAGAATACATTTCACTTAAAGTTTTATAATTTAAATTATTCCATAAATATTTTTGTCAGAAATAAAGTCTGCATCTAACCACTTAAGCACTCTGTTAACCACTCCAACTAAAGTGTTACCTATTAGACCATAAACAGCATAAAATAGCTCAATAACTAGGGTACATTCTTGAAACTCAAGTACAAGTGAAATTCAGCAGTATCAAAAATAAGCCCACTTGCAAACATGTATCATTTTTCTTCCTCTCCTATTTGCATTTGGCGTATTTCCTTCAGTTGCTATCTGAACAAAATGTATTTATAAAAAAGAAATCTTCAAGAACAGTGTAACCAAAAAGGAGGACTAACATACAATGCTATCAAAAAAATTATTAAATATAAAACTTATGAGTAATAAAGTATGTTTTGAAAGATACTTAAAAATAACCCCAATATTTCTTTGATACTGTTTTTTAAATATTTATTAGCTATTTCCTTCTATAAAACCTGCTTATTCATACCCTTTGTCCATTTATCTACTGTATGTTTCCTTGCCAGTCTGTATAAGCTCTTCATACATAATATGTAAACTACCCCTTTCAGTCATATATTTTGCAAATATTTTCACTCATCTTTGTTTTCTCTTTTTTTAATTTGATTTTGGGTTTTGGTTAGAGCTCACATATGTTCATTAAGTTTAGTATATGACATAATAATAAATTACAAATTTAGGAACTCTGTTTTCTCCACAAATGAGAATTAGTGGAGTAATATAGTGCTAATATGATTTCCAGTAAAACAGGAGAGACAAGCCTCAATATCAGTTTGACTATGAGGAGCACTTCAAAGCACATAAAGAAATAAACTATATTATTTTCCAAATGATTCAGAACTGTTCAAAATGATGAGCCTTGTATATATAAGTCATGGAATGAACATGATTGTCTGGGGAAGCATAAAAATAGCAAATACACAATAGGTTATTCACCCCTAACAACGATGATTGAATACAAACTAATTTACACTCAGAAAATTAAAAATATTAGTAAAGAAATAAAATTCTAGTAAGTCCCTTTTGTTTTTGCTTTAGGGTGAATTGCTGGATATATGAAAAGGAGTTAGGATTATGTCTCTCTTTTATGAACAAGTAGAAAATGTGATCCCCAAGATTGTGCAAAATAATTTCTCTCTCCAAAAATACTAATATTGGACATCAACTAAAAAAAACATTAAAAATAATGACATAAAAGTGATTAAACAAATATTAAAAGTAGAAAGCTTCCCATTAAAATTATCACATTGATATAAGCATACATGTGTATCATGAATTAAGAAAATCCAAATTTATATAATGAAGGAGTAACAGTTACAGTTATTTATATTACACAATGATACTTGGTTTATAAAAAGATTCAATATAGATTTTCTAAACAATTATTTTCCTCAACAAAATTAAATGTATAAAATTTTAATATCTCTTTGAGACAGTGATCCAAGCTTCTTCCTTGGATGATGTTACCAGTTCATACTTAGTCTCAATAACTTGTCCCTCCACAGAGAATAGGTGCAGTCTCCTCACCAATACACTCAGAAGTACTGTAGTCACCATATATGCAAACCTGTCAGGAAGAAAGTTGACTGGTTACTAAAGATTAACAATTACATTTTAATTACATAGATGTTCACTGTTTCATTAACAGTGATCATCAGAATTGTAAGTATAGAGTCTGACACCTTTCCTTTTATTTTACCTTCTCTATAATCTCACCTTAACTCTGGGCATTCCTGTGTGCCTGAGAATCCAAGCAAGGAAAAAGTTTTCATTACTGATTCATCATGAAACCGGTCTGGATCAAACCTAAAGAAAAGATTTTGGATTAATCACAACAGAGCTCTCCACTGGCATTTTACATATTTATACTATAAGAAAAAGGAGTGTAATAAAGTTTAAAAACTAACAAAAGGAGAAACTGATGTTGCATTATATTTAAAATTCACCCATTATTATGTTCGCAAATATTACTGAATATATATTTAATATCTTTCTGCTTAGTTTATTATTTCTAAACAACAGATGCAAGAAAGATTTCTCTGGACCAGCAGGAATGAAATTATAACATGGGTTTATAACATTTCATGAGATATAAAGATAAATCATACAAAAATCACATAATGAATACTTAAATTTAAGAGTGTTCAAAACTTGTTATAAAAGACCATCTGATCAATATCTGAAGCATCTTATACTGACTCTTCAATTAAAATTTGTTAGAACTGGAGACACCAAGAAAAAGATGGCAGAGTGGGGAGGCAAAGTGGTAACCTCCTCCCATGTACAAACCAAGGAAGCAACTAGAGCAAATACAACTAGCACTGAAAATGACCTAAAGACTGCAGAACAGACCACCTACACCTGAGGAAGAAGAGAAGATCACACAGAAAAGGGTAAAGTGGCAGAGCCGCAATTGATCAAGACTCAATCCCTTCCCAAATTCCAGCCCACAAGGAGGAGGGAGAGGAACAGAGCAGGGCGAGTAAAAGTACTCAGGAACCCTGCACACCTGGCCCTGGAGACCTGCTCGGGGAACACGAGTCCAAATTGCTTTGGGTTTTGGTGACTAACAGGCGTAACACCAGGGAGAGTTGGAGCACTCTGAAAGGTGGCCACTCCTGTCACTTGTGGACGACAGGCAAGTTCCATCGGTTCCGCTGAGACCTAACACAGAGGCAGTAGTTTGAAAGATAAGAATGGGGACTGGACAGAGTTCTCTACAAGAAAGGACAGGTGGATAATGATTCCCCAGCCCTCCCTCAACCCAACAGGTCAGGTGCCCATGGGAGCCAGCACCACATACAAACACTCCATCTCCCTTACTGTGGCTCAGCCACTGGACGTGCTTTATTGCACAACTACCTACCTGGCTGTTCAGCCCAGCAGTAGTCATACTTTGCTGCATGGCAGCTGGAGAGAGGACACATTCCTGGCTTTCCGAGCCCTCCTTCAGTCCACCTGGTAAGGCAAGTATGGGAGCCAGCTCTGAAATCTCCATCTTCCTCTCTGGCAGCTCAACCCCACTGCGCACCTCCCTACACACCTACCACACCTAGGCTCCTGGGCCCGCTCAGCCCAGGAGGAGCCCAATTTTGCAGATTGGCAGGTAAAGGGAGGCTTTCCCAACTTTTCTGGCCATCCCTTACACAACTATTGGAGCACTTGCAGGAGCCAGCACAAGCTCTTCATCTCCCTCACTGGCAACTCAGCTTTCCAGCAGCCATCCTATACACATGTGCCCTGCCCAGCCTGCCCAGCTCAGCAGCAGCCACCATTGCTGAAGGGCAGGCAGACGGTAGCCCCACCCACAACAAATCCAAGCAGAAGGGCCTCCAGCACACAAAGGGCATGCAGAGGCCAGCTATGAGGACCAGATACTGCAAACCAACAGCAACTGTGGCTCTACTACAAAGGAGAACCAGGCACTGGTGGGCAAAATGCCTAGAGGTTCAGAGCACCACAGGATGCCTACTTCATAAAGCCACTGCTTTCTTAATCAAGAGGCATACCTGATCTATCTAAAACAAAGGAAGAAACACAGAAATCCAGAGATGATGAGGCAGAGAAATACGTTCCAAACAAAAGAACAACGTAAGACACCAGAAAGAGGGCTAAATAAAACAGAGATAACCAATCTTCTTGATAAAGATTCAAAGTAACACTCATAAAGATGCTCACTGGAGGAAAGAACTGATGATCTCAATGAGAACTTCAACAGAGATAGAAAACATGAAAAAGAGCCTCTGAGCTGAAGAATACAGTAACTAAAATGAAAAATAAAATGGAGGGAATGAATAGACTGCTGGAAATAGAGGAAAGAATCAATGAGATGGAAGATAGAGAAAAGAAAAACAACAAAGATGACCAATAGAGAGAGAAAAGAATTTTTAAAAATGAGAAGATGCTAAGAAGTAAAAAGCTAACCTTTTCAAACAATATGGCTTCTCTCTCACTTACCAACTTTACATCTCCCTGTATGGCCCCGGAAGATGACTGGTTAGCCAGAGATGGGTAAGATTACTCAAGGGAGGAACAACCTAAGACAGGCACAGTCGCAGGGGGGCCATCAGGTGAGAAATTGGGGATCAACAGAGGTGAGGCTTAGAACCTCACCCCCCGTTTTGAGAGAAATCTTCTGCATCCGTGGATGTTTTGTTGCCCTTGTCTAGCTTGGATTAATACTAAGTCTATAGGCACACACCTGATCATCTACATTTGCCCTCTTACAGCACTAAACTATGTTTTCTACCTTTACCTTGCATCTACCTAACACTTCAGCATTTTATTAAAAAAAAAAATAATAATAATAATAATAAGGGAGAAATGTGGGATTCACATATAAATCAAGTATAAAAATCAAACAAATAATCATATTTGACCTGATTGTTTATAGTTCATGATGCATGATCAAAACTGAAAGTTTCTGTGATATGACTGCCCTTGCACTGTTCACCATGTAAGAACTTATTCACTATGTAGGAACTTGTTCACCATGTAAGAACGTGTTTGTTATGCTTCAGAAGATTGGAGACTGTTGAGAATTAGGCTTGGGGTTGATTAATGATTGTGCATTGAGTCCCCTATACAGAATTTTATTGTTGTTAACAACCATTTGATCAATAAATATGAGAGATGCCCCCTCAAAAAAAAAATGAGAAGATGCTAAGAGAGCTGTATGACAGCTCCAAACAAAACAATATTGACAGAATCGGGGTACCAGAAGGAGAAGACAGAGACAAAGGAGTAGAAAGTCTCTCTGAAGAAATAATAAATCTGGAGGAGGAAATAAACACCCAAGTCCTGAAAAAGCACAGAGACCCTAACAAAAGGAACCCCAACAAGACAATACCAAGATATATAGTAATTAAAATGGCAAAGATTAAACACAAAGACAGAATCTTAAAAGCAGCAAGAGAGCAGCAGGCAGTTATATATAAGGGTAACTCAATAAGGCTATCAGTAGATTTCTCAGCAGAAACTTTACAGGCCAGAATGCAATGGCATGAAATATTAATGTATTGAAAGGGAAGAACTACAACCAAGAATCCTTTACCCATCAAGATTATCATTCAGAATTGAAGGAAATTAAAAGTTTCCAGATAAACAGAAAGAATTCATCACCACTAAACCAGGCTTACAGAATATGTTAAAGGGACTTCTGTAGATGGAAATATTCTTAAGCCTAAATGTTTTTAATCAGATAAAATAAACCTACAGTAAAGGTAGGAGACCAATTACTTACTAAGCAAGTATGAAGTTAAAAAAAAGTAGTAAAATCAACAACAAAAAAAGTCAAGGGTACACAAAATATGTATATTATGACATCATATACATAAAGGGTGGAAGAGAAAGAAAAAGTAGTACAATTTACATGTGTTCAAAGAGTGACCATCAACTTAATACAGACTTTTATATATTTAGAAAACTATCTATGAAACTTATGGGTACCACAAAATTAAAGGGATAAAAGGATGGTACAATATTCATAAATCAGTCAGTGTGATATACCACATTAAGGCAGGATAAAAACCACATAATCATCCCAATGGATGATGAAAAAAACATTTGACACATTTCAACATCCATTTTCAACAAAGTGAGTATAGAGGAAACAAACCTCACCATAATATGGACCATATACAACAAACCCACAGCTAACATCATACTCAATGGTGAAAAGCTGAAAGCTTTTCCTCTACAATCAGGAACAATACAAGGAGGCCCACTCTTATCATTTTTATTCAACATAGTACTGGAAGTCCTAGCAATGGCAATCAGACAAGATAAAGATAAGAGGCATCCAAATTGGTAAGGAAGAACTAAAACTGTCACTATTTGCAGATGACATGATACTATATATAAAAAGTCTAAAGACTCCACCTAAAAACTATTAGAACTAATAACTATATTCAGTTTGCAGGATACAAATCAATATATAGAAATCTGTTGCATTCCTATATACTAACAGCAAACTAGCAGAAAGAAGAATCAGGAAAACAATTCCATTTACAACTGCATCAAAAAAAAACTTAAGCATCAAAAATGCCTAGGAATAAACCTAACCAAGTAGGTGAAAAACCTGCAGTCTGATCACTAAGACAATGATGAAAGAAATTGAAGAAAACACAAATAAATGGAAATTTATACCATGCTCATGGATAGGAAGAATTAATATTGTCAAAATATTCATCTTCCCAAAAGCAATTTACAGATTCAATGAAATCACTATCAAAATATGAGTGGCATTTTCCAATGCACTAGATCAAATAATCCTAAAATTCATGTGGAACCATAAAACGCCCTGAACAGTCAAAGCAATCATGAGAACAAAGACTAAAGCTGGGGGTATCATGCTCCCTGACTTTAAGCTATACTACAAGGCTACACTGATGAAAAATAGTACGGTACTGGCACAAGAACAGACCCATAGATCAAAGTAACAGAATAGAAAGCCCAGATACAAACCCAGCATATATGGTCAATTAATAGGCAATAAAGGATCCATAAATATACAATGGGAAAAAGATAGTTTCTTGAATAACTGGTGTTGGAAAATTGGACAGCTACATGCAAAAGAATGAAACTTGATTACTGCCTAACTACATGCACAAAAGTAAATTTGAAATATACTGAAGACCTAAATGTAAGGCATGAAACCATAAAACTCTTAGAAGAAAACATAAGCAAAATATCTCTTGAATATAAGCATAAGCAATATTTTTCTGGACACATTTCCCTGGGCAAGGGAAACAAAATAAAAAATGAACAAATGAGACTACAGCAAACTAAGGGCTTCTGTTCAGCAAATGACATCAGAAAAAAAAGCAACCTACAGTATGGGAGAATATACTTGTAAATGATTTATTCAATAAGGGGTTAACATACAAAATACATAAAGAATTCATATACCTCAACGCCAAAAGACAAATAACCCAATTAAAAAATGGGCATAGAACCTGAACATTTTTCCAATGAAGAAATACCAATGGCCAACAGTCACATGAAAAGATGCTCCACATTGCTAATCATCAGAGAAATGCTAGCCAAAACCACAATGATATATCACCTGTCAAAATGGCCACTATCCAATGACAAGAAATAACAATTGTTGGCAAGGATGTGGAGAAAAGGGAACCCTCCAACACTGATGGTACAAATGTAAATGATTTCTTTTTAAAAAGTATAAATTACCTCTCACTTTGAAATATATTTTAATTATAGTTTTTATAATAATTATATCAAATTTAATTAGCTTTTCCTCTTATTAACAATCTCATAATTGAGACCCTGAATGTTTACCCAAAGACATCTATATATTTTCAGATTAAAAGAAAACCAAACTTAATTTTTTTATTCACGTATCATTGATATACAATCTAATGAAGGTTTCACATGAACAAAACTGTAGTTTCAACATTCACCCATGTTGTCAAATCCCCCTACACACCCCATTAGTCACTGTCTATCAGCATAGTAAGACACTATTGAGTCATTACTGTCTTCTACATGCTCTGCTACCTTCCCCGAGACCTACCTATATTGTGACTGTGAATTACAGTGTCCCTTAATCCCCTTCTCCCTCCCTCCCCACCCAATCTCCCCAACCCCTCCCCTTTGGTATCCACTAGTCCCTTCTAGGAGTCTGTGAGTCTGCTGCTGTTTTGCTCCTTCAGTTTTGCTTGTTGTTATACTCCACAAATGAGTGAAATTATTAAATCAAACTTAATTTTTCCAATTATTTATAAAACACCTCACAATATCAAGGATAAAAATAAAATAAGCAAAATGAAAAATAATTTAATCTCAAATACAGAGGGTTTTTCTCTTCTTTCAGCTTTATTGAGGGATAACTGAAAAACTAACATATTTAAAATGTACAATATGATTTGATATACATACACATGGTGAAAGGATGCCCACACCCAAGTTAATTAACACATTTATCACATTACATAGCT